ATCTACAAAACACGACTGTCTGCATATTTTTATGACGCGAGTTGATCCAGAAAAAGTCGCCGTAATCTCACTTCCGGTTCACTTCTTGTCAGCCAGAGATGCGCAATTTTACACGTTATAATTCTGTGCTGATATTGGTTAAGACCAGGAGGGGTGTTGGGCTTTGTAGCCAATGAAATAAGGTTTGGAACCAAAAGTCCCAAACCCCACAGTTCTGGAACTGTTATAGCTAGAGGTCTGAAGTTTTCTGCATTTATGGTTAACATGATGTAGAACAAATGTAATACAATAAAACCTGCCTTTTTCTCAGGAATGTCTTTATTACTGCTGTTCAAAAAAGACCTATCATTTCCGAGAATAAAAAAAAACAACTTTTAGTCATGTTTGAACTGATGCAGGTTGGTCAGTGTTCTACTAACCCAAACTAGAGGTTTTTAGCTTTCAAATAATACATTATGCATGTAATTTTGGCTTACAGTTCCTTAGTTATTTGCTGTTCCATTTGGGTATGCAAAATAGGACGAGAATTTCCCAAAATGAGGTGGACGTTAGTTAATAGAGAACAAGAACAGTGTTTCTGGGTTGGGAGAAAGGGGTGGGGCTTGGAGTGGACTGGTCAGGGGTTGTTTCCAGGGCTTTCCAATTTTTGGGGTCCTAAAGAGCTCTGCTGCCCCCTAAGGGGAAAGTGACATGAAGTAAAAAAACAAATGCTAGTATCAGCTGAGAAAACAAAGCGGCGTGCCATGTATCCGTCTGCCTCTACTGTGTACTCAGAAAAAGTCGAGTTCAAAACACTCTGAAGAGTGGATAAAAGAAACAAGGGGGTCTAATTCCTAAAAGTGAAAAAACACTAAAACACGTCCATATTTATAAAACTCAGCAGCACAAAGTTCTCCTTATTGGATCCCGGCTGCACCTGCTCACAGCAGGGCTGGTCAAAGCCGGTCAGGCTGGCGTCCTGCAGCTTTTAGATGTTTCCCTGATGCAGCACAGCTGATCACAGTTGGAGGCTGATCATCAGGCTGGAGAGTTCTCCTCTAAATCATCAGGGTTTGACTGTTGAAACGTCTAAATCCTGCAGGCCATAAGCCGGTCAACATCCTGGGCTTGGAAATGTATTGACACCTGGAAACGCCGTCTCTTTAAGGTCCTCCAGCTGTGGCAGCGCACCCATCCCACAGCATTAGCCACATGTTCACAGAACCTGCGTTTCCTTAAAACATCAAATTGTAATTAAGGAAATTAATGACCTAATTGAAAACACTTCTATTTCTAAAAAAAACTATATTTTTTTCATAAAAGATTTTTACCCTTTTGAGGTGATTATTCAGTTGCATTAAAATTCTTACCTTATATGAGCATTAGATCTCTGTTTACATCGGCTGCTGTTGTTTTGGGATTTATCACATGAACAATATATTTACGTGTATTTTGATTATATTTTTTTTACTTGATGAAAATACTGCTTTTTTTTTTTTTTAATTAGCAGAATATTAACATTGTTTTGCGCTCATTTGGAATGGAACTGGAGGTATTGTCATCATTTGTGTTAAAGGAAAAGTCCGGTCATGAAGAAATAATCAATGGATCATTATTTATACCTAAAACTAATACGTTCGCAGTGATTTAATGAATTTATCATTAATCAGTAAAAAATGTTAATATTTTTCGTCGCGATAGTCTGGGAGCGGCCATTTTTCCGGTGATTTTTAATACTTAAGACAACCTATGATTCAGGTTTGATGTTGAGTGAAATTGAATATCTGAGAGGAATCTGCGTCGCTTCAGTTTCCCACCTCACCGCCTGCGTCGCTCTTTTCCTCGTCTCCAAACAGGAGCGCACCCTGTACGCATTGGTCAGTTATTCTGAGGGATGATCACAGCCTTCGAGTTGAAATGGAAGTACCTAAGCTGTATAAATGAGATCCTTGAACTACTTTAAAAAAATAAATAAATCTGATTTTTCCCCAAAATGAACTTTTCAGACTTTTATTTTTCACTCCTTTGGTTAACGGAGCCTCCACTCAGTAACAAAAGGTTCAGAGGCCTCTCTGTGCAAACCTTCACCTCCTGCCCAGAGTTCACCTTTCCCAACTGTGAGCGTTTGCAGCTCAGTTAAAAGCGGCGCTTTACTGCGAGTGAAAGCAGGATCGATGACCAAGTCCTTGGTTTTTATCTCGTTTGATTCGGCTGCAGGACAACATAAATGATGATAAAACTGATTTTCTAAAATTGTTCCAGGTCTGTTCCTGGAATGTTTAGGGAGGCGCCCTTAAAAGCAGCAGCTCCCAGCCTCTCCCTATGTGGGTCAGAAAAGGAGGCAGTAATTAAAGCAGCCTTAGCATTTTAGCTGCATTCCTGTTTGCTGCAGCACTCCTACCAAACCATGATTCATCATCAAGATGCTGCCGCAGCCTGAGTGTTTAGTGCCCATCGTGTTCCTCCCCTCTCTGGGCCATCCTCCACCTGATAATGCTGAACTGACAAACTTTATTGTCATTTTGTATACACAGTGTGTTTACCAAACGACAGTTTGTTACATACAGCTTTCTGGCCGTAAATGAGCAGCAGCTTCGCAGTAAAATCAACATTTCCTTTTATAAAGTGCAGCATTGATGAAAATGTAAACAGTGACATGATGCAAAAGGGCATTGATGTGGAAAGTTCAGAGCAGTTCAGAAAATAGATGCGGTGCAAAATGCAGTAGAAACACTAAGTTGAATTCTATTTAAAGGTAAAGTCTGATAAGCAAGGAATGATGTAATGAAATTAGCGTTAATCGGTAAAAAAAACAACAACACAGATTTCCGTTGCAATCACTGAGTCTGGGAGCGGCCATTTTTGCCCAAATATAGTAGCCCCTCCCTCCTGAAATCTTCCGGCAGTGACGTCACGTTGCGGTTAGCCTAGCGCCATTCTCCCCGCTTTACAAGCTAACTCAATGCGAACTACTAGACACATCT